CGGGACGTTGGTTTTTCTACCGGACTCCGGCGCCCGACCAAGCCTGATGAGGAGCCGGGGACGCGCGTGAACCTATGCAGACCAGGAAGAAATTCATTTTCCTGACTTTCCTCGCCTCGTGGCTCCTGCTTTTCTTCTTTGGAGGAGACCAGCTGCGCCGTTTTGTTTTCTTTTCCGGGAGAAAAGCCGAATCCCGGAGGAACTGGCCTCGCTGGACGGATCGGTCCCTCCTGAAAAGCTTCGTGGCCCCGGAGGAGCTGCAGAGTGATGAGGATCCTGCGTTGCCGTCGCCCCGGGAGCGGCGGGCGGCGTGGCTGACAGTCTACAAGAACAGCAGATGCCGGATGGAAACCTGCTTTGATTTCTCCAGGTGCGAGAAACACGGTTTCAAAGTCTTCACCTACCCCCGGGAGAGGGACCAACCCCTCTCGGAGAGTTATGGAAAAATCCTCACCTCCATCGAACGCTCTCGTTACTACACCCCCAACCCCGAGGAAGCTTGCCTCTTCATCCTCAGCATCGACACGCTGGACCGCGACCATCTCTCTGGTCAATACGTCCGTAACGTCGATGAGAAAATCCGCAGCTTCCCGCTGTGGAACGGAGGCAGGAACCATCTCATCTTCAACCTCTACTCGGGCACTTGGCCCAACTACACCGAGGAGCTGGGTTTCGACATCGGCCACGCCATCCTGGCCAAAGCCAGCTTCTACACCCAGACCTTCAGGCCGGGCTTCGACATCTCCATCCCTCTTTTCCCCAAGGACCACCCGCAGCGCGGTGGGGAGAAGGGATGGTTGTATCAGGACTCCATCCCCCCGAAAAAAAAATATTTATTGGTGTTCAAAGGGAAGCGGTACCTGACCGGCATCGGGTCCGGCACCAGGAACGCGCTGCACCACATCCACAATGGGCACGACATCGTCTCGCTCACCACCTGCAAGCACGGCAAGGACTGGGAGAAGCACAAGGACACGCGCTGCGACCGGGATAACGTCGACTACGAAAAGTGAGTGATGGGGTGGGGGGT